GTGTGAACCGTGGACTTCAGGTGATACTGCTGTGCCCATACAGACTCATGGATTGTGAGAGATGCACCCCTCCGGTGGCAGGTGTGGATGATGGAGAGGCTGGGCATTCACCAGATGTTGATAATGAGTGGGGAGGGGAAGTAGAGGCCATCTCTGTCCCTTCCTCGATTTTGCTGTGAACCTCAAACTGCTCAAAAAAAAAAAAATCTTAAAATTACAATAGGACAAGGAGGGACGACTGGGTGGCTCAGCTGGTTAAGCGTCTGCCTTTGGCTCAGGTCATGATCCCAGGGTCCTGGAATCAAGTCCCACATCGGGCTCTCTGCTCAGTAGGGAGCCTGCTTCTCCCTCTCCCTCTCCCTCTCCCTCTGCTGTTCCCCCTGCTTGTGTGCACTCTCTCTCACTCTCTGACAAATAAATAAATGAAATCTTTTTTTAAAAAATCAACAAGTTAAAAAAAAACAATCTAACAATGATGGGGCAAAACAGGATGGTTAAAAATGGAATATGGGGCATGTGGTACCTTCCACGGCACTCGGAGGTGGGGGGAAGAGGTGGTGAGGGCTGGCCTCATTGCTTCTCCCACTGGGTGATGGAAGCTTCTCATCCAGTTGACCGAATGGAGAGTGGCTGCCACTCCCCATCCTTACCCGTCAGGATCTCTATGTTGCCAGAATCACCTTTTTATTTTTTTATTTTATTATTTTTTTAGATTTTTATTTATTTATTTGACAGAGAGAGATCACAAGTAGGCAGAGAGGCAGGTAGAGAGAGGAGGAAGCAGGCTTCCCGCTGAGCAGAGAGCCCGATGCGGGGCTCGATCCCAGTACCCTGAGATCAGGACCTGAGCCGAAGGCAGAGGCTTTTAACCCACTGAGCCACCCAGGAGCCCCTATTTTTTTATTTTTTTAAGGATTTTATTTATTTGACAGAGAGAGACAGCCAGAGAGGGAACACAAGCAGCGGGGTGGGAGAAGGAGAAGCAGGCCTCCCGCCAAGCAGGGAGCCCAAAGTGGGGGTCAATCCCAGGACCCTGGGATCATGATTTGAGCCCAAGGCAGGTACTTAAAGACTGAGCCACCCAGGAGCCCCAGAATCACTTTTTTTTTTCTTAAAGATTTTATTTATTTGACAGACAGAGATCACAAGCAAGCAGAGAGGCAGGCAGAGAGAGAGAGAGAGAGAGAGAGAGAGAAGGGGAAGCAGGCTCCCTGCTGAGCAGAAAGCCTGATGTGGGGCTCGATCCCAGGACCCTGAGATTATGACCTGGGCTGAAGGCAGAGGCCTTAACCCACTGAGCCACCCAGGCACCCCCCAGAATCACCTTTTTAATTGGACATCAGATCAAGGGTCTCCACTGCTCAAAAGCCTCCCGTGGCTCCCATCTCTCTTCAGACAGAATCCAAAGCCCCAGCCTACCGTGCCCTACAGGATCTGGCTATGCTCCCTCCCTCTTGTCTCCCTGCCCCAGTCAGCCCCATCCACCAAGTAGATACCCACTCTGGAGCCTTCATACACACTGCCTCTGCCCAGAACCACTTGGGATCGGCTGAATGACAGCTCCCCAAAGGGTTCTGCTCCAAACTCCTGCATCCGTGAAAAATGTTACTTACATGGTGGAAGGGACTTTGCAGGTATGATCAAGGTCAGGATCTTGGGATGGGGACATTATTTTGGATTATCGGGCGGGCCCAATGTAATCCTGAAAGTCCTTGTAAGACTTGTAAGAGGGAAGCAGGAGAGTCAAAGAGTCGAAGAAGGAGATGTGACCCTGGAATTGTTGGTCAGAGAGTCAGGCACAGAGATCTGAAAAGGCCCTGCTGTTGGCTTTGAGGATGGAGGACTTGTGAAGGAGCTAGAGGGATGAGCATAGGATTTCCCACCTTGAGCCTCTAGAGGAATCCAGCCCTGCTGACACCTTGATTTTAGACTCAGTCAAGACCCAAATCAGACCCATTTTGGTCTTCTGACCTCCCGAAGGGTACAACTGTACATCCGTGTTGTTTCAAGCCATTCCGTTGATGGTCATTTGTTATAGTAGCTGGAGGAACCCAATACCCACCGCCCCAAGACCCCTAATTGTCTGGCTCTTTCTCATTGTTCAAGGCTCATCTGAGCTCATCTGAAATGTCACCTCTTGAGAGAAGCTGTCCCTAGTGACTCTGGCTCATAAATATTTATTGAATGAATAATTGAAAACAGAAACGTCCAGTTGACCCCGATAAAGGTTGAAGAAAGAGCCCACAGACTAACACCTGTGGGCTGATGTGTTTTATTTGGCTGGGGCTGTGGTTGAAAACATTTTTGAGCCAGTTTTTATGAGTTGAAACAGCTTTGCTCAGATATCTCAGTTTCAAGAAGCACGAGAAGCTCTCGGAGGAATGAGAGGCCTGCATTTGTGCCTGGTGGAAATCAGCTAGAATTTTCTGGCATGACCCCAGCCGCCCCACCGCCCCCGCCGCCCCGCCAGTATAAAAACTCCTACACCGACTGCCACAACCCCCTCCAGGCCTTGCCCCTCATGTATGGTTTCTGCTTGGCTCAGGCAGGCCACCGCTTTAGCAACCCTGGCATCTCAGCTAGGGGTCCCCCAAAAGCAAATATGAAAATAGAAAGTATCAACGAGGAGGCAGGAGGTAGGTATGAACCATCAGATGGAAATTTGAGAACTACAAAACACATTAACCCAAGTAAAAGTCTCACCGGACAGACTGAGGGGCAGAAGGGAGATGACATAGGAAGGTGTCAGCAAACTTGAAAGAAAATAGACGTTCTCTGACCCGCAAAGCAGAGAAGATGGGAGGGAAATCAATGGTCTCAGGAGGGTGGGGGACAACAACAGCTCTGACGTCCATATCTTTGGAGTCCTGGGTGGGGGAGAGGGAATGCTGGGGGGAGAAAATATTTGAAGAATCTAATTTCAGGGAGCAGGAGGGAGGGAGAGCAAGGCTGGGAAGGGGCTAACTCAATCCACAGTGCTTTATGGAGCCACTCACTGCCGCACCTGCCGGAAGCTCAGTGTCACTGAGGACCCTCGGAGGGAATGTGTAGAATGTGGCCTGGACTTGGAGCTCCCACTCCCATGCCTTCTGGGTATGGGTGGCTCCCAGGGGACCAAGCACTCTGCTGTCAGCCTGGCCCATGCCTGGTGCAATGGACGATCTGCGTAACTGCTAAAGCTACAGGGGACCTCAGGGTGGGCTTGGGGCAATGGGTGGGGGGTGTCTTGGTTGCCTACCACGGCATAACAAACTACCAGACATTCAGTGTCTTAAAACAACGTGCATGCATGACACCCCAGTGTCTGCGGGTCAGGAGTGCAAAGTGGCTGGACTGGGTCCTCTGCTCAGGGCCTCCCAAGGCTGCAATGGAAGTGTTGGTCGGGCTGTGTTCTCATCCGGATGCTTGACTGAAGAACCTGCTTCTGACCTTCTTCAGATCATTGGCAGAGTTCACGGCCTTGTGGCCTCAGGTCTGAAAGACCACATGCCACTCCCAGAGGCGGTTCACGGTCCCCACCAAGCAGACATCCTCAACATGGTCGTGGACCTCATCGGGCCAGCAGGCCTCCCTCGCTCCCGCAGGTGAAGACAGAGTCTTATGTGATGTAATCTAATCCAGGCCTGACATTCTGACACCTTCACAATGGGAAGAGGGATATGGTTGGAAACAAGTCACAGGGGCCAGGAAGCGACAGTTGCTGGGATCACCTGAGGGTCTGCCTGTCACAGCAGGACACCGACTGCCTGGGCTGTGGGTTGTGAACTTCTAGGCTGTGCGGACAGGCCTGTGCTCGGCTCCGTTTCCTCTGCCCCCAGCTACCACACAATGTGCCCCTGTGGGTGCAGGACACTGGGGGTTTCTGGGGAGCTGGTTAGGAGGGGCCCAGAGGCCTCCTCCCAAGTTTACCATGTGACCTCAGGCCGGGCGCTTGAACCCCCTGTGCGTTGATGTTCTCAACTACAAGATGAGGTTCATAGGAACCCCAGCCTCCTGGGAGGCTGTGAGGACATAATGTTCATGAAGGGTGTGAGTTCCGATCCTGCCAGAAAGTTCACAAATATTTCCCATTCCCGTCTTTGTGATTCTCTGCCTCTGTTTCCCGATGGACCCCGTTTAGTTCTCCACAAATGTCCCCCCATTCTGCAGGAATCTTTGTGTCTCTGGGCACCGCGTGAAACCCCAAGTGTTTTGGCAACAGTTTCTGGTCAGTGGGGAGTGAGCTCTGCCCTCTACTCAGGGGCAGAACTTCAGTTCTGGAAGTTTCAGATTGGTCCTATCGTGGCTTCACAATGGACTCTCAGGGCAATGAATTTTACAAGGCATTAATATTTGATTTCTTACTCTTGTACTCTGCTGAACAGCGTGTATAATTTCTGGGAACGGCCAGGCTTGGTGATTCCCGTGGGCCAGCTGGGCCAGGTCCAGCACCTTGTCCTGGTAGAGGGGTCTGTCTCTCCTTCTCAGGGGCCTGAGGGGGCTCTCTGCCCTGCAAGAGCCAGGAAGGGTGACACGTGTCCAGCGGCCCTGGGCCACTCCCCTGGCATCACCCTTTGCCTTGGAGAGAGACGCATAAGCCCGAAGGCCCTAGGCACAGTGGGGGCAGAGTTGGGACAGGCCTGCAGAGTCTTGGGGCTCCCCACCCCCGTTCCATCTCAGCCCCTGTCCTTGTGGGATGCAGTCAGGAAGGTAGCCACAGTTTACCAACTCCCAGAGACTCGCCCTGCACATGGTCTCATTCCATCCCTCCCTCCCCGCGGGAGGAACACAAGATGTGAGCCAGGCAACCTGAGTTCAGAATGGAGACCAGAGCCCCCAGCCCCAGCCAGTCTCTCGGCTTCCCCGTCTGTGGCACGATCGCTAATGAGTTAACGGAGCAGGACCCAGGACAGGGAAGACGCAGCCTCGGCTGTAGCTGTGGGTCTGTCTTGTGCCCCTGCCCAGGCCCACGCCCCAGCTGCCGTGGGAAGGACCGTTCAGGGGATGAGGACGCGGGAGACCGGCCGTCCTGGGCCCTGGGGGCTCGCTTTATTTCACCAGCAGCACCTGGTCACTTCTTTTGTGCTGGGAAGGGTGGCAGAGCTTGAGCAGCAGGCCGAGCAGGCCCAGAAAGATGCCTACCAGCAGCATCAGCTTGAGCCCCTTGAGGACGGACCTGGCCTTCCCCTTCTGGGCCTCCCTCGACTCCAGCTGTGGTCCGGCTTCCTCTTGTTGGAGGGTCTCCGGCACATCCGGAAAGGGCCTGGGGTTGAAGCGAGCCATGAGCTCCTGCTTCACAAAGCACTTGTAAATGGCCGGCTCGAAGACCTGAAGCTGCCTGCCGCCGTTCGTGGGTTCCAGAATGCTGCTCAGGACCTGGTTGGAGAGCTGGCCCTGCCAGGTCAGGGGGATGTCGTTGACTTCCCAGAGGATGGGCCTGCAAAGGACGACAAGATGAGCTGCAGCAGCCTGGGGCTGCATGGAGGACAGAGGTCGGGACAGGATGTGGAGACAGGAACAGCCAACAGGGCTCCCCCTCCAGGAGTGCTGGGGGAAAGCGGGGCCGGCCTGGCAGGGAGCTCAGAGCCCTATCCCCTCCCACCGCCCCCACCCCCCACCCTAAATGGGCCAGGGACATAGGTCTCTAGCTTTTTGAGCCTCCACGTTGTCATCTGAAAACTGGGGATGTAAAGATTTTACCTGTTTCACAGGGCTGTTTGGAGCAATGAGCCAGAACACTTGCCTACGTGATTGACCCCACGCCCCACCCCTGCTCTCCCTGCCTGGCCTCATTTTCTCTGCTCTCCCTCTCTCTCTCACTCTGCCCCAGCTGCACTGGCCTCCCAGGTGGACCTCCAGCAGGCTGGGCCCCATCCTGTCTCAGGGCCTTTGCCCCTCCCTCCACCAGGAGTGATCTCCATCAGCACCCAGGGCTCCCTCACCTCCTTTCAGTCTCGGCAGCTTCTCAGATGACTTCCCTGCCCTCTGTTTTTAAACCAATCCTCTCCTCCACTCCCATCTCCCCCTCCCGGCCCTTAACCACTGCCACTGCCACTGCCGCCTAGAACACGTGTGTTTTATTCATGCGATTGTTCATGGCTCCATGAGGGCAGGAATCTTTCCCAGTTTTGGTCTCCCCTGATCCCCGGTACCAAGAACAGTGTTTGGCTTATAAGCAAGCCCTCAGTGGAACCATGTAAGTGAACGCGAGGATCAGGCATGTTTCACAGCCATCGTGGCTGGGGAAGAGGAGCACTCAATCGACAGTATTGACGAGGCCAATAATCCTACGAGGAAAAGCTAACACCTCTGAGAGTGTGGAACTTTCTTCAGACACTGTTGTAAGTACCTTTATAGACATCACAATGACCCCATGAGGCCAGGGTCCCACAAGACCTCCGGACTGACCTGGGGAATGTCCTCACCAAGTGTGTGTTCTAAACCTCAGAATGTGACCTTATTTGGAAATCGGGTTGCTGCAGATGTGATCAATTAAGACAGGGTCTGATGGAAGTGTCCCCAGGCTCTAAATCCAAAAGGACCTGTGTCCTTTAAAGAAAAGGAGGAGACACAGACACAAACACAGGGAAAAGGCCAAGTGGTGATGGGCAATTCAGGGACATGGTTACAAGCTAAGGCAGGCCCAGGATTGCCCACCACTCCCAGAAGCGAGGAGGAAGCAAGGACGGGTTTCACCCAGCATCTCAGAGGACATGGGGCCCTGGGGACGCTTCGACTTTGGACTTCTGGCCTCCAAAACTGTGAGAGAATGCATCTCGGGTGTTTTAAGCCACCCAGTGGAAAGCCCAAGGAAACTCATCCAACCCCATTCAACAGACAGGGAGCCTGAGGCTCAGAGAGAAGCCACAGGCCCAAAAGCACACAGCCGGGAAGTATGGAGACCAGGCCTGGCTGAATCCAGAGTCCAAGACATAAACGTCACACGGAATGCCACTCTACCCAGCTCCCTAGAGACGTGGCAGCCCTTGAAATCTCAGTGACCTCTCTTGATTCTTTTCTTTTCTTTTTTTTTTAAAGTAGACTCCACCTGGGGTGCCTGGGTGGCTCAGAGGGTTAGACATCTGCTTTTGGCTCAGTCACAATCTCTAGGTCCTGGGATCGAGTCCCACATCAGGCTCCTTGTTCAGCAGGCAGCCTGCTTCTCCCTCTTCCTCTGCTGCTCCCCCTGCTTGTGCTCTCTCTGTGTCTCTCTCCCCCAAATGAATAAATAAAAAGATCTTTAAAAAAAATAAAGTGGGCTCCACACCCAGCATGGAGCCCAATGTGGGGCTTGAACTCATGACCCTGAGATCAAGACCTGGGCTGAGATGAAGAGTTGGATGCTTGACCGAACGAGCTGCCCAGGCGCCCCATGTCTCTCCGTTCTTCTCTGGGGTTCCCAACAACTGGCACTCGGGAACTGCTTGTCTGGCAAATGACATGGAGCAGGTGTCCCAGGCTAGAAAGTGGGGGCGGGTGCCCTTTCTTGAACTGTGGGGTCTTTGCGGAGACTACGTGCTACTTTTACACTTAAAGGAGAAAAAAAGGAGGAAGGGAGGCAAGAGAGTGTGGAAAGAGAAGAAGTGCAGTCACAGCAGGAATAAGGAAAAGAACACCAGAGGGAGGGGGTGGGACCGTCTTTGACAGAGCAGGTGGCTGCAGAGGCCCCAAGAGTTTGCTTGGGCTCCCCCCAAGGGAGGGGCTGCCACAGGCCCGTAGGGACAGAGGGTGGGGGGTATCTCCACGGTCAGGTGTGTAGGATTTAGGGTCAACACGGCTCCCCTTGGGCAAGGACTGTGCCCTTCTGGGTTGTAGTTGCCCCCCTCTCTTAAATGGCCCCCCCTCGGAGTCACCTGTAAATAGATCCCCGGGGGCAGGTGAGCCACACGGACCCCAAATCCTCCCTGATCTCGAAGTTGTCGAAGGTGATGAAATCCACCGTGGATATTTTGCATGGGACCTGGCAGGCCTCCACCTGCATCTCTGGCCGCATGCGGCTGGACCAAAGCTTCAGATCCCCCAGATAGAGCCAGCACGGCATGGGCTCCTGTAGAGGCTCCTTGATGTAGCAGTAGCCCAGCCGTTTCCGTTCCCCAGGCTCCCCGCAGCGGTTACAGTCCTGCCAGGGCTCCCAGCGGGTGAAGATGAGTTCCGTGCCACCCAGACTCAGGGTCTCATTCTGCAGGGGCTTCTGGCCCAGATCTCTGTGGGTGATGTGTAAGGTGCTGACATCTTGGAAGTCAATCTCGTACTGCACCACTTGGATGCCGTCCCTGTCCTGGCAGTGGTAGAAGCCCGTCTGGGAGGGCGCCGGGTCTTGGATGAGAATGCCGGTCCCGGGTATGATTTCTATGTTGGAAACTCTAGAGACTTTGTTGGACCAGCTGGCCTTGTCTTGCAGGAAGAAGAAGTACCACTGTGCCCCAGAAGAGTTGCAGGGCAGAAAGATGTCATTGTCAGAGAGGAGGGCTTTCTGGCATTGCTTCTCGTTGGGACAGCTGAAGGTCGTGTGGAAGCCCAGCGCAGGGATGGCGAGACTGAGAAGCAGCCATGGGGTGGCGAGCATGATGGACTGGGACTGGGGCCAAGCGGGCAGGGCACTCCCCTGGCCACTGTTAAGTCACCCCTGAAACCCAAGCCTCAGCGAGGGGGAGGTGTCCTAGGGTCCACTGCATGGGTGTGTGAGGTCACAATCCCCATTTGATTGGTGACAGTGTGACAATGCTTTTTCATCTCTATTCTAAGTCCTCTACTCTGCTGGGATAGGAAGAAACTTAATTTGTCTCTTCAGGGTTTTCTCTACCATCCCCTGGTTTGGCATTCAAATATCACATGTGAGCATTGGATGCATTTCCCCCAAACACCGACTATGTTCTGGGCCCAATTCTGAGTGGTGGGCGTGGAGAGGTGAATAATTCCTCTCTGGTTACCAAGCAAAAGGCTCCACCTGCCTCAGCACCTTGGCACACACTGGTCCCAGACTCTTTCCACAGATAGCTGCCTGATTCAGTTCATTTTAAACAAATAAATATTTTTCTCAGGTGTCCCCTTCTCAAATCCTTTCCTAAACTCCTTCTCAGCCCTGAAATTAAAAATAATGATTGTGTGGGCTTACCCCGCCATCACTGACTCATTTCACAAATGTTTACTGAAGGCCTGTCTCTGGCCCTTATTCTAATCGCAGCTTGAGCTGGTTGGACAAAGCCTCTTCCTCCTTCGGACTTACCCTCCAGAGATAGACGATAAGCAAATATATAATACATAAGATCAGATACAGTAGATTCTCCTTATTCATGGCAGTTATAACTGTTCTATAAAGTTGCTGAATTAGCAAATACTGAAACATTGTTCCCAGGATTAATGTAGGTTTAAGGTCCTACCAGCCTTTGGTCATTACATTTTTGTCAACTGCTCAATACATAGCCTTATTTTATGCGTATTTTCTTTAAAGACCTCTCTTGTTAATTCATTAACATTGAACTTGTAACCCACAGCGCTATTAACTCATGGCTGAATAAAGCTTATCTGAGACACCTGTTTTCTTCACAAGACACGTCGCAGCCATCTTGTGCTTTGGGATACTGGCCAGCCTTCAGCTCTGCCCGGGAGCCATTTTAAATAGCAGAATCACAAAAAGTACAAAAATGCAACAATAACAAAAAGTGGTGCTAAACAGGCCATGAAAAGGATACTTTTAATCGTAGGAGAGCTGGAACTAGAAGGCAGTGTCATGGTGTTGGATCTCCGCTGGGAGTGTGCACCGGTAGGGGGCTCAATGTTTTCAGCACCCTGTGCATGTCTGCGCATGACTACAAAACCACGGTGGGTGTTGATCTGGGGGCTACCAGTGAATTTTAGTGAGTGAGTGAATTCACAGGTATGGGCCCTTGAATAATAAGGATTGCCCACTAATTGGGGATGGGGAATGAAGGGTTGGTGTGTGGGTGTGAGCTATTTTAGGGAGTGGGATCAGGCCTGTCTGAGCACTCATGGAAGGGGTGAAGTTTTGCAAACACTTGAATAAAGTGAGATAAAGGGCCATGTGGATATTTGAAGGAAGAATAATCCCAAGAAGAAGATTCCCAAACCCCTGATACGGCTGCCATATTTCAAGGACATAGAAGTCAGAGTGACTAAGGGGTAGTGGACAAAGGGTGAGGCCAGAGGTTCACTTAGGTCTTTGCTAAGACATCCTGCCTCCCTCTCTCCCTGGCTCCTGTGGCTGGGGGCTCTCTTAGTCGTGTCCCTGTCCCATGTGGGGACCTCTACAGGCTGTGTTTGGGATAAGCTCTATGCTTAGGCTCTGGAACTTCTATGGCCTTTTGCTGCCACCTTCTCCCCAGGAGTGGGCCACACATCCCCTCTGTCCTCACATCTATTAAACCCATCTGGAGTGTTTGTCTGCTTCCCAGGACCTTATAAAGTCCCTCTACCTGA